CATCGCGCGTGGAAGAAAATCTCCTTCCAGGTGGCTGCACCGATGCACCAGGGCTGCTAGCCAGCTGCTGGGGTTAGCGCTGTGGATCGTCACTTCCATCGAGGGGCCACGTATGGACCTCATCGCCAAAGGATCCGGCTGCTAGGGAGTAGTAGGTGCTTTGAATATGTTGATTTCCCGGTGTCCTGATTTATTGCCCTAACTGGCTAATCAGTCCCTGGAAAGGATAGTCTAGGACGAGGAAGGGGAGGAAACAAGATTAAGCAGCCCAGTTAATACTGAATCACAATAGCGTTCTGGAATCCTGTTGCCTCAAAAACGTGTGAGCATTTATATTTTTCTTTTTCCCTTGTGTTTTAGTGGCCATACCAGAACTGTCTCTAAACTGACTCTCTCAGCTGTAGTAGCTGTTCAGGACCATGGCAGCAGGAGTGGCAGGGGGGGAAGGGCCCCCCGCCATAGGGTGGAGGCCAGTGGCCACAGGTCCTATGCCAGCTGCTCCACGGCAGGAGAGGAAGCGAAGCCAGGACTCTCTGATTGTGCTGAACGTGAGTGGTATCCAGTTCCAGACATGGCTGGACACCTTAGAACGCTACCCCGACACTCTGCTGGGCAGTTCAGAGCGAGACTTCTTCTACCACCCTGAGACACAGCAGTACTTTTTTGATCGGGACCCTGACATCTTCCGCCACATTCTCAACTTCTACCGTACAGGGAAGCTTCATTACCCCCGCCAAGAGTGCATCTCTGCTTATGATGAGGAGCTGGCCTTCTTTGGCATCATCCCTGAGATCATTGGCGACTGCTGTTATGAGGAATACAAGGATCGCCGGCGTGAGAACGCTGAGCGCCTGCAGGATGATGCTGATCAGGATCATGCAGCCGAGAGCTCCTTACCCTCTATGACAGCTCGGCAGAGGATGTGGCGGGCCTTTGAAAACCCACACACCAGTACACTGGCTCTGGTCTTCTACTATGTCACTGGTTTCTTCATTGCTGTCTCTGTTATTGCCAATGTGGTGGAAACAGTGCCCTGTGGGGTAAGCCCAGGCCGCATCAAGGAGCTGCCCTGTGGAGAGCGCTATGCTGTGGCTTTCTTCTGTCTGGATACTGCCTGTGTCATGATCTTCACAGTTGAATATCTGTTACGCCTGCTGGCAGCCCCTAGTCGTTACAAGTTTGTACGCAGTGTCATGAGCATCATTGATGTGGTTGCCATCATGCCGTATTATATTGGCCTGGTGATGACAGATAACGAGGATGTCAGTGGGGCTTTTGTGACACTGCGAGTCTTTCGTGTCTTCAGGATCTTTAAGTTTTCCCGTCACTCACAGGGGCTGCGCATCCTGGGCTACACCCTGAAAAGTTGTGCCTCGGAGTTAGGCTTTCTCCTCTTCTCGCTTACCATGGCCATCATCATCTTTGCCACAGTCATGTACTATGCAGAGAAAGGTTCATCAGCCAGCAAGTTCACCAGCATCCCTGCAGCCTTCTGGTACACCATTGTCACCATGACAACACTGGGGTAAGTGCAGCTGGCATTTGGTTACAGCCAACATTTCAACAAGTGTATTGCCAGGAATGGAAAATGCTCAATTTCAAAAATGTTAATAGAAAGAAATGAAAGGGTAAGTTTTTGTTCCTCAACTTTATAAATACAACTCAGCACTCCTTTTAAAATGCTTTACATATGCAAGTGAGTTAAAAGTGTTGCTAAAGTTAAAATAACCCAGGCCCCAAACTGGACATGAATTGAAAAACCCAAACAAATGTAATTCTTAAAACTATGTTTGGGTTCTTCACCATTTTCTCTGACAGTTTATTCGGTCTGGATAGTGAAATTGCAAGATTTTCTAAATATTTGTGAGTTATCAGTGGATTTCTAGTAGAATAGTATGATTTCTGATAGGATTTGTTGCAGTGTTGCTAAAGTAGTGATAGTTATGAGAAGAAAACAGGTGCAATATTTTGATTTGACCATGCATAGAAGTATGTGGATCTGCCATTTTGTTTGAATTGAAGTATTGATGGGGACTTTGGTATAGATTTGGGTACTGCAAGGTGTTTTTTTTTCACAAAAATAAAAAAGAATCTTAATCTTCACAGGAAAAAAAAAGTCCTGATCTTATTTAAGACATTGGACAAAATCCCTTTGATTTCCATAGAACTGCAGCTTAGCTCCAAGTAAATAGCACATGTCAAGCTTTGCTTACCTATGACACAGTGTGGAAAAAGGTTTGAGAAAGTGTGAAACACTTATATGACAGGTCAAATAAATATCTAAAACATAATTCTAATGACTAGAAATTCTTCCAGAGAATTAGGAGTTAAAAGATGCTTGGTCAACAAAAGATTGTTGACACTAAACTCCAATAGAGTTTAGTGGAAAGATAGGAGATAGTACCTAGCATTGTTTTATAAAGATAACAGGTCTCTTACTGATACTAGAATCACATTGTAGCAGCTGACTCTGTACACCAGGCTGTACAATGTGTTTATCTGTAATGCTAAAAGGGATTTAGAAAGTTTGGCTCATTTGAGAAGACAATTTGTTGCCCTGTTCTTAATTTTGGGCTTTATAGTATCAGCTATGAAACTGAAAATTTTTTGATTCCTTATAAATTTTCTAGCTATTTAATAATTACAGGTATTAAGAGACACAACTTTTCACTCTCATGAAGATGAGGACCGTCATTTTATTAGTCAAACATTTTGCCACATCTTGTTGAAATTGTTGAGATTTATGAAACACGTATAATTTTTAAGCTTAACAAAATGAAAGTGCATTATGAAACTATTATGGAAAAAGTTGATTTATTATATGCAATCATAATTCAGCTGGAAAAATCACATATAGAATTTTGAACAAGATAAAGGGACTGTATTATGCCACCATTTTTTTAGAAAAGCCTTTTATCTTCAGCACACTATAACAAATGAAGATAAATATAGTACATTGTAAATATTTCATAATACTTGTGAAGGCAAGTTATGCTAAAAAGGAATGACAAGAGCTTTGGGGATTTTAATCTACTTTTTAGGTTGCTGGGTTTTTTAGTTTTCATTTTCTTCTGGTAGTGACAAACTAAAGGGACAAGTTAGCACAAGGAACAAGTTATACATGATAACTAGTTCCACAGTCCTATTCTTTCTGATACTGTCTGATACATTTGCCACATATTTTTAATTATCATTTGAACTGTGATGATTTCAGCAAGTTAAGTCATAAGAATTTACCAATTTTTATAATATACAATTTTATTATTAAAAAGCAGGAGATGGCCTGCATTTTTTTGTAATGAAAGGTATTTGTTACATAAGTCGAGTTCACCACTGTGGACATTGTTGTTGGCAGTACTTGTCCATGGTACTGAACCGTATTGTTAAGTAGCATAGCTAGCTCGTAATGGAATATGACACAGACGTGATATTGATTTGTCAGTGATATGACTTGGCATTGATATAACTTGTTTTTCTCTTTCATAAAAAATTGGTATAATCCCATAGTTCCATGTTTTGAGACACTACGCTGAATACCATTTCAAGAGTACTGATGAATAACACTGAAAATCTCTTTGAACAGAGCTCAAGAACCTATTTTCAAGTACACAGGCACACGATATTTAGGTCCCTGGAGGAAGAAAAGGGATTAAAAAGAACAGATGTTTGACTCAGTTTTGGAAGTAGTTTGCATAAAGCAAGTTTTGAGCAACTTTCACAGAGATGCAAAGTTTCAGCCTTACAAGTTCCTATATGATTACAAGTTCAGATATTACAGACATCATAACTTGCTGGGAAATTTTTAGTCAATACATTAGCTAGATGATATCCTTTAAAAAATTCTGATAACTATGTAAAGACTATGCTTAAATGTTAAATAAATATGAATAATTTTAATTGAATTGCATAACAAAAGCTTTCAACTGTCTTTAGTTGAGGGAATGATTATAGAAAAAGAGAGGGAAATTCTAGGAAAAGCAGCAAGCGTTAGTGAAAGCTGACTGCAATTAGTACTGCTGCCTTCGGTTCTATGTTAGATCCTGTCACCATTGACTTTTGTAGAACTCCCATTTATTTTTAATTTTAGTTTTTGCTGAACAAGGGCTATAAAATTGGGCTCTATATGAACAACTTTTTTATTTTAGGAATAAAGTTAGCTGAAATCTCTTAATTTTAAAATAATAGTAGCACACAGCAGGCTCTCTGAAATATTATAAAAATACATGAAAACTAATAGACTATGCTATGAATAATAGACTAACTATTTGAGTTTTTGACTCTGAGTGTCATTCTCACATTTTTCTAGATAGCAAGGGTATTGAGTAGCGACCTTTGCAATTTGGGGAGTTATTATCTTCGAAGCAGAGCTATATTTCTCCGTTCTGCATGATTGCTGAGCAATTAAAGCGTCTTTAAAAAACATAGATTACATTTTTCTCTGCAGAGTGCCAGTGACTTCAAATATTGCTACATTTTAGCCTCCAAGGACATCCCAGCTATTAACTATTCTTGACTGCTCAACTCAAGTGATACATAATTGCACATAGAGATGTTATATGAATGAATGAATGAATGTATGAATGGAAGAGAGAGAAAGAGAAGACTCTAGAAGAATAGCATGCCATCTTCCAGAAACCGAGGTGTCTGATTTCAAATTTCAGCTTGATCTTTTATCATTATTAATTATAGCAAAAGCAAAGGTAAAACAGCGAGGAGGGACAAGAGATTAAAATAGAAAGAGGTCAGAAGTCAGTATGTAGAGATTCAAGATAACAATGAGAAGCAGAGAAGTTAGGGACATAAAAGTCAAGAAACAGGGTAATGTAAAACCTCACAGAGAAAAAAAAGCTCAAATCTATTGAATTGGGACTGACAGATTTACATGGGGGCTTGTGAACATCTACACTCATAATGACACAGTTATGTCACTTTCTGCTGTCACCTCATAACAAAATAATCTAATAACTTTCCTTCTCCCTTGTCAGTAGCCAGCAAATGAGTTTGAATAGCTGTTAAATTTTTGATGGTAACAATTGTTCCTAAATCAGGCAGAGCTCTACAGTAGCTTATACTTTATAAAGATGTTGTACTTTAAATAAGGAACACAATGGTCTTTTGTGACAAGTTCAGAAGAAAACACATTGCCATATTAAAACTCTATATTTATAGGCTTTACATTGGGTAGCTTTGTCAGGTCATGTAATACATTTGTAGATAAACATAATACCTTATGGAGGCAACCTTAAGCAGAAAACTATTTATCTACTTTGGATATATAAACTAGATGTGTATCTTCCAGAAAAGATAAAGCACAAATTCATTTTCATTATTTGTTCATGTAGCCCATAATGTAGGAGGAATCCCATTTAACATGTATCAAATCCCATCTGCAGAAGACTTTATAATCAAACAGGTGACTGGATGTGAGACTAGAAAGCCTCAGATAGTGAACGGGGAAATAAGACAATGGACTTCATTCTCCTGCGCGTTCCATTCTCTCCTGTCATCACTCCTTTTCCATTCTTATTACATCCTTAAGGTATATTGCACTTTTTATTTTCTTCACTTTTATTTCAAACCACCACTTTCTGTAGCCTCCTGTTTTGGGAGTTGTCTTTTGGCTTGGCTCCTTTCCTCCCTTGTTCTGGACAAGTTTAACATTCATATTAAGACTCTTGTGGCTTTACTTCCTTCTGCTTCTTTGTTCCATATTCCTCATTCATCTTTCATAACTAGATTAAATCTTTCATTCATTATCATTTTCATTCAGTTGACCTGAACTTTCCTCAAACAATTTCTTTTCTGACCTTTGCTTGATAGGTTTTTTTTCCTTATGAGCATCATAAAATTTCCACAGCATCACTTTTTTTTCCAGCTGCCATACATATTACTTTGTTTTCCTTCTCTGACCATTATGAGTGCTTCTAGTTTCTTATGGTCTCTGCATGCTACTTCAGAAACATCCGTCTCTTCAGAACAATGTTAAAAAATCAGGAGTTAAATAAAATCTAACAAGAGAACAGAAACTTAGAAGCCTTAATTTCATGAACAATTTAACTGCATGCTTAGAAATACTTTTGTGATGAATATTAGAATATTACAAGAGTAAAGATCAACAGAGTTGGAATTTTATTTCTGTGTTTTTAGCCACTTATTGGCTAATACTTTCAAACCTCTTTCAAACAGCTTTTTTCTATGTTGATATTCTTGTATACCACCTAGTGAATATTTGATGTTTTGCTCTATTTTCTCTTCAAAGCAGAGACTTTTAGTCTCAATAGCTAGAATACTATATAACTGAGGAGGGACAAAGTGTAATGTAAATACTTTCAAAGTTCATTACTAGATATTCAAGAAAGGCTGCAGGGAGAATTTGAAATTTTGAAAAATAGGGGTCATTTTGATAGTAATGAAAATAATTCTTTTATTCTTTAATAAATATATACTCAAACTGTATTGGGCTATTGCTGTCTTGACAGAAAACAGGGTCATTATATTCATATTTAGTTCTCTGCACTGGGGAAC